GTCCGGTCGGGAAGTGAACTACGAGCCTACCCCTTCGATATCTGGAACCCAAACAATTAAGCCAACCATTTATCAGGGAAGGCCTTATTAATAAAGCAGCATTAACTTTTTTCGTTATCAACGACCTGACCTGAGATGTTTGAGGAAAGAGAGCGATGGCCAGCGGCAAACCAAAGCCAAAAGCAGCCACACACACCATCGCTTGAACAGGAAGATGAAGCCTGGGACGAGACATCATAAATTTCGTCCTGTGGTGGAAAAACACGTTGCGCTCAATAAGATTTGTAAAGAGATGATGCACGTATAATTTAAAATTTCAAGCGGCCGCCTATTGACCTCAAATAGATCGAAAATTTTCCGGTTTGGTTCATTTTGAACGCAAAATTTGTAAAGGTCTCTTGGTGATCTGTCTCGATGCATTCATCACTGTACTGCAACAGACAGAATAAGCACTGCAGAATTTAGGAGCACCAACGATTTTTTCTGTAAAATATCTGTTCGAAGAAGCAAATAATGAATATTGCCTTAGCCTTCGTCGCAGACATAATTAAACCTCGGTATGTAACGACGGACTTCACCAGAGATAAGTTCCGTCTGTGGCACAGGCTAATATTGCCTAAGAATTCCTGAAGTTCGAGAAAGGCTAAAAATTTCTGGATAACCGCTTTAATCGTCTAAGACATCTGAAGATATTCGGATTATTTTCTACTAACTTACCCACGATTTTCGGCAGTTGTGCTTTTCGCATTTTATTACCAAGATATTGTGATTATTGTTAAAAAAAGGTCTTGTTTAAGTTTCGGTATAAAAACAAAACGTCCCCTAGAATTTTCTAATTAAAATACCGCCACTCCATGTCCTCCACCTTAACCGGGCCCATCAAGGTAGCTAACAGTCTTGGATGAAACGAAAAAGTCACTTAAAACTTTAGTGATTGATGATCAAAGTTCCTAGGCCTCTAAGACATCCGAACAGATAAATGTATTTGAGACACTTCTGAGGTCTTTGTAAACATTCGGTCTTTGGGCAAGATTGGAGATTAATTGGCTATAAAGTACACTTTAATACCCGGATTTTCAATAGCAGGTCTAGATAGTGCATAATTAGAATTGAATTGATTTCGACCTTTCTTTGTTATCGTTTCATAGTGATATCAATTTTACCAAAGACTAAATCATATCAAACTTCAAGTGCAGGCTCTCAATGCAGCTCAATGCAAAGCCAGTTAGTGTTAACAATTTGTTAGAGGCGAATGAATAATGCTAGTCGGTACTCCAAAAACTGTATCGAAACACCTTAAAGGACAAGTCGGGGCACCCAACGAGAATATAGTTCAAAACCGCTTAAACATAGCATTGTTGGACGTATTTTAGTATTTAAACGGTAGATATAGGCATTTTTTTATCCCCTAAAAAATTTTCAGCTGTTCGGATTTCCTAGCAGAAAGTCTAGTGATCCGAAAATAATTGGGATCAAAACTTACCTTTTCGAAAATTTCAGCAAGAAAAAAGGCTAAAAATTCTAGGTGACCTTTTTAGGGTAAAAATCCGTTAAAAATGGGCAATTATACCATTTTTTAAATGTTCCAAAATCCTTGGGGAGGCAGGCAAGCAAGAAATTTTACAACAAATGCTCCGAAATTCTCGATCTCAAATCGTCTTCCGAACAGATATTTTCCAAAAATTGACGTTGGATGGCCCTGACAAGTACTCCTTGTCTCTACAAAATGTGATGACTGAGTTGCCTCGTACCCAGACGTCACTCGCTTGTCACTCGCGTTTCGCACTCGACTCTGTGCGAAAACCGAAGCGGCTGCTGTTGTTGCCGCACCAAACTAAAACTACCGTACCAAATTGATTCAGAGGCCGCTCTTTTGCCGTACTTAATTCATCAGTTAGGTTCGGCACATGAGTGGAGCGGCGTCTGAACCGGGCCTTACCTTTCTAGAAGCTGCATAACAAACGGCGGAATCACCAACACAGGTAGCGGAAGTAACACTCGAGTTAAAGTTGTTTCAAAGACCGCCTGAAAACAAAAACAAAAAAGAAAAAACAAGACACAACAAAAAACGATGGCTAAACCGGTGTTATTAGATAGCGCGCGTGCTTGCCCAATATGAGTCCTATTGAGCCGCTATGAACAAAATCTTTATTTACGCACGCCCGTGAGTAAATAAGATGACGTGAGCATTTTTTTTTATCTGGCCGTAAACTGAGTACAGTTGTCGTCTTTTAAGCTGCAGAACAGTAAATTTTTCCTTCTCTTTAAAATATGGAAGAAACCAGCGAAGAACTGCCCAATTTTTCTATCGGCATTGACCTTTTAGGTCCTGATCCAACAAGCAGCAAAAATAAAGCCGAATTAAAATAAAAAATCTCGCAAGTTGCGTGGCGTTCGCAAATTTGTCGAAGACCAGCTGCAGCAAATTTTGGCCGAAAGACATTCACTGGGAACAGAACAGACACCAACTGGTCATCAACAACATTTAAAGGCAAAATTTCCGTTTTTATTGCTGTTTTTAAATTTGTTATGCACTTTTGTTATCTCCGGACAATCCGACTGAAGCAGGAAAATTTCTATCGCAATAACAACACAAATTACACGAGAAGACATAAATTTATTACTCACAAAAACAACTGCTGCCAGGTCTCCTCAAGAAGCCGTAATGACCAGCCAATGTTCGTAAATGAATATAAGTTTAAAGAAGGATGACAGTCGTCTTCACTAAAAACATGTTTTCTGGATTTCGCCGAGCAAAACGTAAACATCTTTTCAGCAAATCCAAATCATACTCCACGACTTCTTATGAACATGTTAGTTTTAACTTTAGGTGAACTTTAAGACTCTTTTACCTTTGTTTCTGCTTAGTTTCCATTGATCGTTAACGAATAAAGAAGCAAATTTTCTTTCTCACTTTTACAGAAAGGATATTTTCATTCAAACTAGACGATTGTGGCGTGTTCATAATCAGCCAATAGAACCGTTTGTTATTGTGTCACACGTTAAGAGAATTTTGCAGTTAATCAAAAAGCATGCATTTTTGTCAGCTATGTTATAAAAGAATTTGCTCATGCTTTTAGCTGTGCGTATATCGAGTTATGGATGCACTTGGGAAGTTTGGAGAGCACTCAAGAAGCTAGAGTTGCACTCGGCTATCGCCTCGTGCAACTCTTACGCATCTTTCGTGTTCTCCAAACTTCCCGCGTGCATCCATAACTCGATATACGCACGCTAAGCATGAACAAATTCTTAATTTGTTTGTCCGTTCCGTGCTCCTTAGCTGGTTAAGTAAGGAAAGACGCGCGAAACTAGCCTGAGGAAACAGTCGACATTTGGCGACGCTACTCCTTGTTTCCCCGCGAAATGACGTCTGAGAAACGAGTGCAGAAATTCCATACTGATGACGCGTCACTACCCACATCTGGGTGGTGCTTGTGGTTGGTCGTGCCGCGTGGAAAATTTTCTTCAACCAATCAGTAGCACTACCCAGAACTGGGTAGTGACACGTTCCCAGTATGGAATTTCTCACTCGTTTCTCGGACGTCATTTCACGGGGAAACCAGTGGGTCCCAGTGGTAGCGTCGCGAAATGTCGACTGTTTTCTCAGGCTAACGCGAAACAGGTCGAAATTCAAAATCACTCACTCGCTCAACCTCTTCATCCCGGCTGGGACATAAGGCCGCAATCAAGCGTCAACCTCGTCCTGAGTTTTGGCCTGCGCTTCGTCCCATGTTCAAAATAACCTCCGCCCTTTTACCATAAAGTTTGCAGAGAAATTAAAAAATACCTGGTACGGTTCGTTAATTAGCAAACACAAACAGCTTAAAGGAGCCCAAAGCACCAAAGCTTACGTTATTCCTAAAAAGAACTAATCTAAAATGCGTGTAACGCAATTTTGAAAGAATGTCATTGAATATGGGGTTGTGAGTTTCTCGCTCTGGGTTATGGACTCAGCAGTTTAGTTACCTTTCTAGCAGCTATTTTTGAAGTTCCTACAACATTTCCATCTTTCTCTTTCACTTCAATCCCCGTGAACAGCTCCTGATTTCTCATAAGGACCACGTTGCAAATGTTTGCAGTAGCTACAAGGCGTGAAAGAGAAAACAACAAATGAAAAAAAACTTCGAACCAGCCTTTCTCTGTTTGTTTAGTTCAGTTATTTCTCTGACCGGGTGAAGGCGAGAAAACTCTTGCAGACAACTCACACAAACAAAAACAGTTGCTAAAGAGTTGAACTAAGTTGGGAAAAAAATCCCTCTACAAGTGAAATGTTTAAAAAAAAAAAAGCAATAGGTTTAGATCAGCAAAACAACAACTTTGCACGTGCATCACGCTTCTTTGCACATTTCTTTGACGTCACTGCACAACTACGACGTGAAAGATACCTAATTTCACGTTTTGCGAAGAACGACGCTTTTTTTTCGTTTCCTGAACTTCGATAGAGTTGTTTAGAATTCGACTGCAGAAAAATTTGCCAACATCTGACGAATTGAACGAGATGGAATAAGAGCGATAAAGTTTGAAGCAGCGCGAATTTGACGTTTTCGTCGTTGTCGCCGCCGTTGTTGTTGCTTAAGCTCCCTACTTAACCCGCTGATACGAGTCTGTCGGGCTTCATAAACACTGCATAATACATTTGTAGTAAGTAAAACTTACCTGTAGCGGGATAGGCCACTAAACGCTGAAGTAAAGCTTTCAAAGATGGATTGGAAATCTTCGCTCTTTTCACCAAAGTAGTAAGTCCAAGCTGTGTTCAAAAAGATCCCAAGATCCCGAGTTAATTTAATTTTTTTGGCGGGGAACTGTTTTATTGTTAGATGTCATGTGACCTTGAAAAATCCAATAAGGGCGCACGCTGCTAGGGTAAAATTCCAGCTACAGCTGTATAAAACAATCACCCAAAATCACTCTATCTCGTTTTGACCTTTCTCCAGTCCCCAAGGTGAGTATCAATTGCGGCAGCAAGACTTCATTCCATCCTCATACGCTTTTTCATTTCACGGTGTTTACAGGCTCGCAAAAATCACCCTGAACTGGATTGGTCCAGCACACAGCTTCAAACACTATTTTAGTTATTCAAGTTGATAATGTCCACTGTGGGCGGGTGGGGGGCGGGTGGCGGGGGATTGGAAAGTCTTTTCCTTAATTTCAGCAGCGAAATACGCTTTACCAAAAGAACGCCAGGAGTATTGTTACATGCCTACTGAGAATGTGAGGGAGTGGGGTGGTTGTAAGTTTTGAACAAGTCTTAGTGCTTGGTTAATAATAATGATGATATTGATGATGATGTTAGTCAATTGTCGTAGGATCAGGAAAGCAACTTACAGCTATTGACACAGCGCTAGTAACAGCTCCAAAGTAACTCAGTAAAAATCGGCTAGTTGGGGTTGGCTGGAAAATCAAATAATAATAGTAAGCTCGAAATAATTAATATCAAAATTGACTCAAATAAACATTGCTTGCTGTACATTCTAAATACGTAAAGTGGGACTACTCATTATTTAATGATTACTTATTTCCTTGGCTGAAAGACAAACCAGGCTGTGGTTTGGTATATACGCTTGATTTGCTCTTACGTTTTTTAAAATAATACTACAAAAACTCTAATCCTACCTGATAGTGAAGAAAATACCTCAGGGAATTTGGTGGGTACAAAAAATAATAACCAGGGATTTTTTGGAGGCAGAGATTGTTTGGACAAACGACATGAGACCTTGTTTCAAACCCCACCTTCCGGCCTCCCCTTCCTAGTCAAGAAAATACTTGAGGGTGCCACTTGGGACTCTAATGACCATCCACATTATAATATTCAAGCTATTTTCATCACCTTGCTTGCGTTTCTGTTGGAATAGTTTACAGCTGCATTGTGACTCTGATTCATCCACTGCAATGTTCAAACAGTCAAGGATCAGTTTAAAAATGCCAGGAAGGAAAATTGAAAGACTACTATTATTTAGAGAGGGAGACAAGATGACAGTAAAATGCCAACTCTGTATCATGGTCGAGATCTGTTGCTCTTTAGCTTAATCAACACAGCATGCAAAGAAATAAATCCGAAAAATGGATTTTGTTATCGGGCTAACAATTCTGTTTTAACTTGCCCACCCATGTTTTTTGAAGGAATTTTGCTGAAGAACTGTAAAATCAATTCTGGGCAAAAAGATTTTGGGGCTAGCTGAAATGATGTCTGGGCTAGTAAGAGGGGCTTCAGGGGGGCAAGCTTTAAAAAATTTTTCTTTGCACCCTGCAACACATAAATAAAAAATGAGAATAGAACAATGAAGCCCACCCATGTCAGAATTTTGCTGAAACCCAATAGGGCAGATTCTGTGAGGAAGAGGGGCAGGGGGGGTATATCAAAAAATTTACACCTTAACAACCATTAAACAAGCTTAACTGACCATCTGAAGCCATGTTCGTTGCATCATTTGTGAAATTGTCAATAAGATTATCATTTTTTTTAATGGCCATAAACAACTTCGACACTTGACTTGTGAAGAAACTATACCCAAATGAGCATACTTTAGTCAAATAGACCATAAAATATGGCAAAAGTGTCTTGACAAGAACATTCCAAAACTCTCTTTTCTCTGCATTTTTGTGAAAAAACACTCCCACCAAAATGAAGCCTAGTAAGACAGTTGATCAAGACAGCCTGCCATCCTATGAATGTCTTTAGTATTATTTCAATTACTGATAACCATGCAAAAGTACCTGCCAGAATATGACCGTCTTCAAAGATGGTGCTGGTAACAACATCCCTACAACCTGAACAAATTCATTTCAAATTTTGAGCAGACTTGAAGTTAATTTACAAAAACAGGGACTGATTGAAGTACAATTTATAATAATATTATTATTACAAGCTTATTTCCAGATCCCTGTTCTAGATTAATGACAATAGCTTTTTGTGAAAGAGCTGGAAAAGAATAGCCACCTCATTTAAAATATTTAGGATTACAACAAAACTGTCTAATGCATAACAAACACAACCATAGTTTCATAAGACTACTAAAAATACACTAAAAGATACATCTTGACAAAACAACTCAAAAAATGCTATTATACCGTCACTGTCCCAAAAGGAACATACCCTGCAATAAAACAAAGACATAAAAGCATAAATTTCATTGTGAGTCAGATGAGGGACATAAAAATGGCCATTTTTTGTTTTTTAATACACATCTGTACACACCTGACATTCTGAATGGCATCAGCACTTTTTTGCCTGTGTCTGGATGTATTATGGCCTAGGAATAGACAAGAATTATTGCATACTTAACTTTAGCAAGTGTAATTCTGACAGGTATTTAACTATCTTCTACTTCCTAACAAAAACTGTCTGATATTTAATTGTCACCATTATAATGTTATGTTTTACACGTAATTGCGGTGTTTTTTTTAATCAAATTATTTATAGATGAAATATTAATGGCAGCATACCTCTTTAATTTTCCTTGCTTGCCAGAGCTAGAAACAAAAGGAATGGTAAATATCAAATCACATGCAAAACATTTTTTTGTCCAATTAGGTACAACAAATCTATGGTTCTGGCATGGTATGATGGCATTTGTTTTCTTTTCCATTAACCCATTTGCACAAGCTGCCCGTAACCGCCCATGCAGATCCACATCCCTTCTACCGCTTGTGACGTCATCAGTTTTAATGGTCAAGGACAACTTTATCCGCTAAGGTGAACAGAGTAAAGAGATCTTTCGAACCGTACCAGAATGAGCCTATTCAGTCAAGGACGCCGGAGAAAAAGGAAAAAAACCATGTAATGTTGACTAGAAAATTGCAATGAAAATCTTGTTCCACTACCCACCTACCTTTCCTTTCATCTAATCCTAAGATCCTAAAAGCTTTCCTAAAAACCTCTCCCACCAAACTGAAGCCTACTAAATGCCCAGCAAAAGAAAAAAAATGAGGCAAGAAAATCTTGAAATTTTGCTTTCTGTGCATGCCCGAACTTTGCAAGCTAATATTTTGCATCTGAATCAGAAGGCTGCAAAGTGTATGACCTCTAAATGGCTTTGTGGTAAGTTTTAGCTCTTAATAGCACGATAGTGACCAGAAAACTTGACTAGCTTCAAAACGCGTTTTTTGGCAAAATCTCCAGGGGTGAATGGGTTATGTTCTTTTGGTTTTTTTTTTTCAAAGATTCTTCGGATTTTTTCTTTCCCAAGTCCAATGTTGAGATTCGGTTGGATTTTTTATTGGTCTCAGCATCTCTGTGTGTCTGGAATTTTACCATTTGTATCCCTTAAAGACATTAACTTTGAACCCAGGGGTATACTTGCATATATAGTCTACACAGGTATGTGCCACTCAACATGGTATTCTTTTTACCCCTTTGACTGATCTGGAACAGGGTATAGAATCACTCTTTATTTCTGGAAAAGGGATATATTTACTTCTGTTTGACTCTGAAATAGGGACAATTTTTCCACATAATCCCTTGTTATTCTTGGTCAAGTTTGGGTGAGAAACTACATGTACACTCCCCTCATCATTTTTATATGACTGAGCCAGCCACAATTATTTGTCTGGAACAGGGCAGCAAATGTACCTCTTTTTTATCTGGGACAGGTCTAGAGTCTCAGTGACTCAGCGGCACATCCCCATAGCAAATTTAAGGGAGTACCCCTATCCCAACTTTGGCAAAATTTTTTAAATCGAGTGGTTGTATCAACTTAAAGGGCCATTTGAGCTCAATTTGCATGGAACTGGTCAAACACAAGAGACATCTATGTTACAGGTCAAAATTATTTTCAGGTTTGTCTCCTAGCCCTACTTATTCATAAATTAGGGCTACGAGACAAAGAATCAACCATTGTATGCAGGTTAAAAAATTTTAACCTGAATATAATTTGACCTGCAACATCTACAGCCTTAATGTCAGCTTTTAATGTTGGCAGTACTTGATGTAAGTCTAGATTTTTTATCAAAAAAAGGTCTAGAGATACCTAAGGTAGGAAGTTGTAAGTTAATAGTAAAGATTCATACCTTATGATCTGTTATACCATGGGGCAAAGTCCCATTTTCAAACTGCTTTAAAAGATTGATAGAATCCTGGAGCTTTTTCTGCAATCAGTAATTCCAAATCAATAAATTGAAATGAGGCCCCTTGAAATAAGAGAACATATAATAAAATTAATAGTAGAAACATACCTCACTAACAAACAGCGTTCTAGGATCTGTTACATCCAGACACCTTTTAAGCCGTCCCCAGTAGGTCAACTGTCGTAGAAAGGAGAAAAAATAAACACGACTTGGTTCTTCTAAGAGTTTCACAAAAAGACTGACATTAAAAGAGTGGAATTGTTACTTGTCTTATTTGGCGATCAGTGGCCGCTCTGCAGAGTATAGCAGCACTTGACAAAATCCTGTTTGTGCAGAGCCAATTTTATCCGCATGCACTGTGTGCAATAAAATCCGTTAGACCGGAATAAGCGTGCATGCTAGCTCCCGCCTCCTGATGAAACAGTGAAACTTCCATAAACAAGTAGCGATCTTGAAAAAAGGTAAAATAGGTCAATGATTTTCATCCAGTATACTGAAAAGCTTTTCGTCAAACCGTCAATGTTGGTGGAGTTAAAAAAACACACATACAACCCAATGCTTAAGTTATTTTACTTAGTGATCTCTTTTTACCAAATGCATCACAGAGAAAAGGTTGGAAGTAGCATTTGTGAATGGAAAATATAAGGAATTTTTAAGTGGATATTGGCTATTTGCCATTTGTGGCTATAAACCATAAATTCACTTAAAAAACACCGACAATTTGAAGGAATTAAAACCCGCGACAAAAACAGCCTCTGCGGGTAGGGGCTCAGTATAAGAAGGATACAAATTTTAGGCACATTTCCAGCCATTTTAGATGACCTAAATGTCAAATCTTCCCTGTGTAGCAAACCCCTGGACACCCCTAGTATTGTCATGCTTTAGCATTTGGTTCACTAGAAAGAAGGACTAGAAACAAGACCATGAAGAAATTGCCAGTCGATCGATTTGTATATAACCTCACTATACTGATGAGAAGGCAATGGTAAGTAGGGAATATGGACATGACGAGCAGAGCTGAGAGGCCAGCCTGCGGAGTATGGTAGAACTCAATGACATCTCGTGCATGCAGAGCCATTTACAGCCATGTAAAATGTTGTAAACTTTATTTCCATAACTGTAAAGTTCTATGACATTGTGTCTTTATTCTTTCAATTATTTAATAAGGAGCTCTTTTTTTGCTTCACTAGTCTCACGCAGCTATCAATTTCTCTTGAATCTTGAACAATTTTATTGTCAGGTCATCAGCTTGCCTCCCTATGTAAGTAAGAGAGAATAACACTGGGATATGACGCTCACCTTTTCATTGCAGTGTTGCTTTAAAAACCGAGTAAACAAGTAATGACGAATATTCTTGAATAGCATCATGTCTCTTAGTTTTACAGTTGCTGCATGCAATGCTGCAATTCTGGTGTTCACAATGAACGTTTTATAAAAAATTGTGCGTGCACTTGCCATACTCTGCAGACTGGCTGAGAGGAGCCTGTTCCAGGCTCTCCAATAGTGGGGAAGACGTGAAAGAGTGGGGAAGACGCGAAAGTGAGAGGCATGCGAAAAGTTGGCGGCCAGGGAAAAGGGAAAACGGTAGCTAGAGCCTGCCATCATTTCTTTTACGACCCTCTTCCACCCACTTTTGGCATGTGAGATAACTAGATTTGGCTGTCAAACTGATGACATTTCAATGAGCTGGAATCTTTCTCAAATTTCTCGCGAGAGCACTTTGCCCGGCACTAATCCCTTATTCGAGCAAGAGCAATTTGGAGTGTAAAACAGGGGTCAGTAAGCAACACACGACATTCACCTTATGCCAAAATGATGCTTGTTCCAATGAATTTTTTCTCTTATGGGTAAACTATGCTCTGGACGGGTCTGCGTTTTGACAGAGCAAAATGTGATTTTTGCCGCTTATTTCTTACTGAGAGATCATGACACACATATTGATTTTCTGCGGTAATTGTTTCAGGTCGGCATGATTTACCCTCTGATGCAATACAACTTCTTTCCCCTCTTTTGAAATGTAAAGTCCTTCATTGCAACTAAGTAAGGGTTTTAGGTTGTTTAATTTTCTCCAAAGTCCCTCCTTGATCTGAATAACTAAAAGCGATTTTCTTTTGTCCATGAATGTCTTACAATGTTTTGTTATGCTGGGCCCGGCTTGTTAGTGTATTTTGCAATATGACAGGATCATGAATTAAATTCTCACGGATAGTGATTCACAGATCCAAATTTCGAAGAATGGATTGCAGCTTAAACTGAAGCTACTTTAAATATGGAGAACTATGTTAATAGAAGGTCAAAATTGCACTTTAAGCGATGATTTTTAAGCTCCAGCTTGTTTTCTAAAGATAATGTAAATACTGGAGCACGTAGTTCCTCCCGTGTTAATAACTTCTTCTTGCGACTGTTCTGTTATTGCTTTTTGGTGATCAGGCAAGACCGAAGATGGTTGGCAGGATTGCAAAACATCTTTTCCACGTGCCAAGTTCACAAGGCAGGTCTTCTGTTCCTTCCTCAGTGCTCCTATAATAATCCTCTATTTCACGCATGTGGACGCCACATGCGATCTTTCTGAGTGACAGGAACGACCCGCTTTGAGAGTGTTGATATAACCTGTCAAATCTGACCAATAAAAGGGTACACCAGGGGCTGGTATACCAGAACAAGCTGTTTAAAGAAATGATTACAGGCTCCACCGCTCTTTCTCTCCCCAGTTTCCTCCCCTTTTTGTTTTGTTTTGTTTTGTTTTTGTCATGTTTGCGCTTTCTCAATTCAGCAGACCCGACTATCTCGGAGCCTGGAACAGGCTAGGTTGAGAGGTTAGGGTGCATTTGGAAAAAAATTTAATGGCCACGCCCCAGTAATAGAAGGGTGCAAATCTCCTAGGCCCAATGCTGCCGCGTGCAATGCTACGATTTTGGTGTACGCGCTAACCTTTCTTAAACAGGCTGGGCTCGTGCGTGCACTTGCCATACACTCTGCAGACTGAATCATTGGTACATATCATTTTATAGAGTTAATTATCGCAGCTACACCGGGCGAGATGAGACACTTTTTTGAACAAACTAAAAATCTCCCGAGAATATAACTTAAGACCTGTTTCTTTGGAAAAATGACCTTACTCACCTGATCAAATCTGGAATCGGTAAGAGAAAACTTCGGATATCCTGCAGATGGAACTGTGTCCGCCATCTTGTTTATAACAGGTATCAGCTGGCAGAGATGCTTGGGGGCTCACCTAGCAAGGATGCATTGCTGTTGGAGCTCTCTTGGCGCCAGAGGGATTTCAATTTTGTCTTCTTTTTTTTTCAATTTTTTATGCCCCTACAACTAAAGACAACCGCTGAAAACTACCGTTTTGCCAGATGTGATTGTGGAAAACTGGTCAAAAGGACCTTATGGTTCCTTTTGAGGTTCGCTATCGTCCTAAATGATATTCTTTCCCAACACACTGACAAAACAGTAAGCTGGTGGGGGTGCACCGCCCAGTTGTCCAAATCCTGACCTTATTTCACACCAAAAATGTCATTTTCCACACCCGTTTTCAGACCAGAACTAAAAATTTAGACCTGGCCGTTAGACAGAATTTATGTCATCATTCCTTAGATTAGAGCACAATCAAAACTGATTCTTCAAATGCATTTCGAATTCGCATGTTCTAACTATATCTTGTTCATTTCGAATTGAAACGATAAATACGTTCATACACTCCCGTAGTTCCCTCGAAAACCATACTGGCCGATTCCAGACCAAAATGGGCAAAGTCTATACCCGTTTTCAGCCCAAAGAAAGGCCCAAAAACCACACCCTTTGGGGAGGTACATACCATATGGCTTAAAGAGGGAGATCCCCCCCCACCCCGCCTTCCGGGCATAACTTCTCGATCTCACCAGGAGCTGATCGGCTCCTGCTCTCACCTAGCCTGCGATGCGGTAAAGCGCGAACGATGATACTAATGTTCTCCCACCATCTTGGACGACAGTTTAATACTAGGTGAGTCAAAAAATCATTTCAAGGGAGGTTGACCGGTTTTGACGGCGGCGATCAATGTACCTCTGAGCTTTCGTTAGAAAAAAAATGCTTGCTGTGAAGGCTAGCTATCAAAATAAATGCAATTAAGGAATTACGGGTAGACTTTCGCAGAAAACGCACAGTCACTGCCCCTGTCACCCCCGCTAGAGTCTAATGGGGGAACTGTAGGGTTGCATGCAAATATCGACCGATGTCAGAATGCCCAACAATTAAATATTCATTAATAATTCATAGAACTGTTGTTAGAGTCATTTTAATCCCCGGCTTTAAGAATTGACAGTTCACCTATTTTGTATATACAGTAAAACCTTAGCCTGCGAAAACATCCGTTTCTCCTCGCTCTTCGCCGCTGGGGACGTTTCGCGCGGAGGAACCCAGCGGCGAAGAGCAAGGAGAAACCGATGTTTACGCAGGCTAGTAAAACCTTCATGTTGCAGTGTGACCAGCTCTCGATAGCGAAAGCGACCACCTTCCCTAAGCGACCACTTATTCAAAATACCAAACTTCTCCCCAGTCAAATCACCACGGTGACTGCAAGCGACCGCGAACGATTTTTAATGTTGAACTTCTTGCTCTTGATGGACGGGTCTGATCTATACAGGTGTCTCCATGTTCGCTGTATGTACTATGCTGTTGCTCACAGACCTCACAGTATACAGAGAACCTGCAGAGAACTTTTAGTGACAACATGGGACTACACACATCTCAAGTTACAGAAACTGTATGCAATAAATTATCTTCCATAAAGTGTTCTAAGGTAGATGAGTCCGGCCCTCTTCTCGGTAGGGACCCCCTGTGGTTCGATTCTTGTAACCAACTACAGTCGAACCTCTCTAATACGGACACCGAAGGGACAGAGCAAAGTGTCCGTATTAGAGAGGTGTCCGTATATAAAAGAGGTCACTACGATAACGTCACTTTTATGACTCTTACAGCGGTTTTAAGCGTTCAGTAGTTAAAACCAGGCTCACACTCGTCTTTAAAGTGACACTGTCCTTCAGTAGCATACAAAATTGTACATCACCGGCTACAAAGTAAGTGCAGCCGTAGACAAATCACCGCGCGGTTCTAAAACGAACGAGCTACAGCGCAATGCTGCAAGTAAAAAGATGTAACAGGGGTTTTCTTTTAAAGAAAATATATGAGAATTTTGTCAGGACACTGGCAAGGCTATCCAGAGTACTTTTTGATCTCTAGAAGTATATTTTAAGCGGCACTGTAAAATTGTATCTGTTCGGTCACCCTAGAGCAACTTGATCTTGAGTCTTTTCGAAATTACAAGGGCTTCCGCATTTTTCCCCGAAAATTTTAGATGTAATTAATTTAACGTATTACGAAAGTGAGAATTTTTCTGATTCCTCTCTCCATCACATTTTTCAGTCCGAGAATGTTAGGTTTCCTTTTTTCACGAAAAATAGCTAGCCTAATCGGAGGAATGAAATAAGCTTTGAAAATTGTACATGAATGGAACGGTTACATCTAGAAATTTTCAGCCCTCAGGCTACAGAAAATTCTAGGCAATATTTGCTTCTCCGAACACATATTTCACAAAAAACAGCCGTTAGGTTCCCCTGAAAACCGGAAAGAAAAAACAGATTGATCATGTAACAGTTTCCGCCTATTTTTTTATTATCAAGATCGTGCTGGGGAAAACTGAGTATTTTTTTGAAGTATTAACGCAATTCTTGATCGTCACAGGCCCGGAATGGGAGCATAATTAACTAAATAGTAGTTCGTGCCAGTTACAGTTACCTTGCTGCTATTTTTATTCACAAAAGAGAAAACCGCCCATAGCTACAAATTTACTATTCTCAGCGATTCTGCGTCATGTGATAAACTTCTGATGCACTTGACATTACGGACATCATGTTCAAATATAAACCACAAAAAAGCGGACGAAGAGTGCTTGACTGCAGTTCGTCTGGAGGCTGACCACTGGCTGATATTGTTTGTCGTATAAGTAGAAGGGGAGAAAGTTTTTTTTTCCTGTATAGTTAAATTCTCAGTATGTTAAATTTAGTGATGACTCAGGATCCATAAACTTAGTTGTATAAATGGTATGAAGTGAAGCGCGACCTTCAGAGTTGACGGGGAGGGCCGAAGCCGCGTGGGGTATAAGATGGAAACAGCGAGAACCGCTTTTGAATTTTCTCGCCGCTTCGCCGCTCCTTACTTTTTTGTTTGATCGCCAAAAAACTGCCAGCTAAGCACATCTTAGCGATAGCCCTATGACGTTCCATTGGGAAGTTTTTGCTAACCACAATTGCGCTTTTACGGTTTCGAGAAGCCTACGCGAGTGTCAAAGAAAGAGGAGAAGTCTACACGCTGGCTCGTATCCGAGCACGTGTTCACATCAGGCCAAAAACTTCCGGGTCGACATTGCACTCTCTCCTCATCAAAGCGAAAAGCGTTTAAAAACCCAAGTGAAGGCATTTTTCACAAGTTATTTGATTCACGAACTAGGCATAATACATAACATACAGATTTAACAGACAAAACTGTTCTTCGTTATCAATATATTCATCGGCCCCCTGTAGTTTTCATTCACTTACACTGAATATGTTCCGATCTTCTGTAGTTTCATTTCACTGTTCTTGTTTTACTTTTGCTACACATAATATACACACTACTTGACAACACCCAGTGATGGCAGAGCCGATCATAAATTAAATAAAAGGGAAACTTGCACACTAAGCATACCACATTTTTACACATAAATTGCACAAAAAGAGTTATTCACTAAAGTTAAAATGCCCTGATGAAATGTTTACACTGAAACTCGTTTTCTGGTCTTGTTTGTAGTTAGGAGAAATATCGTACTGTATTTAAATCTGTCGAGAGACGAGAGAACCTTGCCATGTGGGCGGTAGTGAACACCTGCATCACGGCACGGCCAAGGTTAGGACGTTTACATTTCAGTCTCTCCGCTGCATGCGTTTGTTTCCTGAGAAACGGGAATAGGAAGAGAAGTGGTAACGATGAAATATTTAATGAGGTCAAGGTTACTGCAATTTTAAATATTCAGAATATTTTACATCATGGTCACGTTTGAACAGCCAACGCTACTTATTGTGTCAGTTGGTACTGCACTGAAGTGCAGGTCAAAACCGCACAGCTAAGATAAATGACAAAGGAGTGAGTATTCAGACAATCTATTATCGCTAACAAAAAATGATTATCCACAAGCCACAATCCAAGGTTCATTGCACGTGATCAAAATAAACGGTACAGAAAATGATATGGAAGACGGAACTGAAATATTATATGCAGAAACTAACTGCTTCGTTAAACTGAAACCAAAGGAAGTTGAAAATGTCTTTCACTTGGAAAATGAATCGTCGAATTTGTATGCCAAAATAAGTTCGACATCACTATTCATCCGAATAACACAAAGTTTATTTTCAGCCTTGTAGCTAGTGACGTAGGTCATACATAAATATTGCATACAACCAGGGGCAAGAGAGGCTCCTGGTGTAACCGGTGACAGAGCAAAGCATAACAGAGCTATTGTGAGCAAAATCATGGCAGTACTTGATTTTACTAGGTATACCTTGATTGTTACTGAGAAAACTTTGTATAACTTCTATTTTTCCAAGGGTTGGGTCATGAGAGGGCGTTGACGGGGCCGGAGCCGGGAGACAAACGGTATCAAGAAAGAATCAAGTTGTGTTCGTGAAAAACCGGAGAAAACTTGTGTTAAGCGAACTTGAATTAAGCGGTTCGTTCCCCTCTATGAAATGGTAACTTACCAAGTCCAGGCCCTAGTTGTTCAGAACGTAGATAACGTTATCCGCTGGATAAATCTCTATCCACTAGATAGCGCAATTAGTTTCTCCAATATTTATCCGCTGGATAGTGATTTATCCGCCGCTGGATAGCGCTATCCAACGTTTGAACAACCCGGGCCAGGAAATCAGGTGAAATGTCTTCGCTTCATTACTGTAAAATCGACCTAGTAGCAAGCAGTCACCTTAATTAAGCGGTGGCGCTGACCTTCTCCGAGGTTCCAGAGAGTTTTTGTTTTGTCAAAAAGCCGGTACACTTTGAAAAGATGCACTTGATTCTAGTGCAGTAGATACACTGTACCGGCATGGCGTCTAATGGTCTTTTACCTCTATTCTTTCGTTAGGACTAGCCTGAGTATGAATCGAATCGCAGAAAAAAAAACACTTGAAGTCAATTTGCGGTCGTGTGATAGATATTTGCTCCGTCTACAGGGGCACCCAATGGATCTGTTCCTCAAAATATCTGTTCTTCATGCAAAGTTTTGCTGGCTGGGAGATGTGGAAGAAATAGTAGTCCTTGGAAGGAAAGTGTTGCTGGGAAAAAGATAATTCAGGGTGTCAGAGGGGATTTGAAGTCTAGAATAGCTGCTACGGGTTACTTGTATGGGTTGCTTACCACTCAAGATCTCAATTGGGCCCTACGAAACTTCCCAGTAAGTCAGGTTGCAGGTTGTAAGGTTGCTGGCTGGGAACTCTTCCATCAGTCTTGCTGGGAGTGAGGAACAGATAATTTTTTTCCAGCAATCTCCCAAAATGCTTAAAATAGTCTCAGAAAACTTTATTCACGCTTTGTTGTTGTTTTTAGGTCTTTTTCTCAAAATTTCCCGTTGGGTGCCCCTGCGTCTATGGCTTCATTTATCTCCTAGGTTTGTCAAATCTGTATTAAACGGTCAACCTATATTGTACTGTATTAAAACCTGTATAAATTCAGTACTAAGTTGGCCAGTTCAAAGATAGACCGCTATGATGACTGTATTGTATTTCTGCAATCAAGTGCCTTTCATTTTCTCGAATTTTCACTTGCGGCTCTGCGTTTGCACACCGGGTACATTAGAGTAAGCATCATAGCTCGAGGAATAAAGTTATCAAAGTTCCAAAACTCCCATCCTACTGCAACTGATTCAAAAGTCCTGAACTGTGACAATTTAGCCTCCATGAAGCAGTTGACGAAAACTAATGCAAAATCAGCTTCGGTCAAAATGATCTTACAGGCGTAACCACCATAATTTTCTTAAGGCCTGCCCGATATGTAATAACAAGGTCTTAATTATATTGAACACTTCCGTGCTAAAATGATGTATTGCCGGATCAGAACCACAGCTTCTATACAAATCTGATAATTTCCGTTTTGCCTCTCGAATGCGACAAGATTTAAGTCAAGCTTGCCATTGGTCTTTAAAGACATTCCTCGTTGGATCGTGTTGTCGTTACGGGTTACACGAGCGAGGTACGTTGTCTATTGCTCATTTCGACACTTCCTGAGTTAGAGCTTGAAGTTTCGTGCACACAATATTATGTATTTTTGTATTGTCGCTGGATTATTCTCTCTAAATCTTGCGCTGGGTAATGAATTTTCGATTTAGTGTTCAATGACGTATTGAATAGTCGGCTGCTGTCAAATAAAGCCTGTAATGGCTTTAATGTCATCGATCCCGGCAGTTCACAGGGTAAACAAATTGATTGTTCGAAAGGCAATAACGTTATTCACAGACTTCACAGCATGTAACAGGATAAAACACAATCCACTTGATAGAGCAACTAGCTTTTTCAATACGTCTCATCCACTGAATAAGTCGACTTGCGGTTTATACATTTCAAATAGCTGGATCAGTCAGATCACTCCCCATCGGGACTAGTCACATGTGCCGTGTTCAGCCGGGTGAAAGACGGGTACCCAGGACAAGAGAAGTTTGAAGCACGAATCGCCATCAGGAAATTTTTCATTGTAGGAAGCACATACTGTTTAAGTTTGATATTCAGTTCAGTCACCTACTCGTATCCTGCTGTATTATTTTGGTTCCTGAGGTTTTCCTTCAGAAGAAACGGTATATAAACCTCTGTAACCTCTCCTGCCAAATCGTTTAGTTCGGAATTTTTACGTGTTCTTTCCAACATAGCGGGCGAAGGTCGAAAAGATCTTTTCTCACTTTCCAACATAGCGGGCGAAGGTCGAAAAGATCTTTTCTCACTTTTCACCCTACATCATATCATGTTTAAAATATGTTTCTCTTTAGCGTGCAGTGGCAAGTTTCTCATTCGATCTGTTGTGGGTTTACCAGGGAAACGGGCGCTCACGTGACCTAAAAATTAAAAATTAAATCCCACGAAAAATACTTCAAATGTCAAGGCCAAGGTGAAAAACACCTACCTTCTAACCGCCGAGCTTTGCAGGTCTACCATGCGACACGGCTAATATATACCTTGTAAGGAAAAATCGAGATTGCGTGAAATGCTGACAATTTTCCCTGCCTCGACAGGTTCTTTCGAAATCATTCAGACGAGACTGGAGACAAGTCTGATCACAGCAACCACTAATGACGACAATTAAAGCGACGAAAATTTTATGGCCCCTGCAGTGATTTTTATCCCTCCTCTCTTGGTTTGTGGCAAAATATCTACGCTTTCATCATCAAATTATCGAGGACATTAAGATTTTTAGTTGTAGAAGGTCCAGTACAGAACAAAAATAAAAACGTACAATTTTTAGCATTTTGTATAAGAGATCATCTGCCCATCAAAAGACCACGCAAGCCTTTGTTGTCTCTTTATATTAATGCAAGGTCTCGAGAGTCGGTGATGACAGCAATAATAAAAAAAATCTGCACGCTCGTTCCACGCTTCAAGTTCTTTGGTCAAAGTTTTGTACCTTATTAAAATTTCATCACAATTTTTCATCTCTATCTGGAGGATGTTTATATAGTTTTGACTCCCAGCTTTGTTTTCCTGTTTCCTGGGAATAATTTTTTTGTCTCCTGGCCTTTGTTAGATACCGCAACTCATCATATAAGATCAGTTACTTCCCATTAATCTAATCTACAAGAGATATACATAACCGCGTCAAGTCTAAAGGTCTTGGGAAAAACTACAAAATAAGAAGAAAAATCGCACGACCTTGGGTACTGATTCTTTTGATAGTACAAGATATAAACAAAAAAAAGGAATTTTATTGCCGGGCTATTTCAACTATTTTCACAAATTCAATAAAATCATAAACGTTCAAATATCTTGTCAGAAAATTCGTTTATGTTAACGGTTTAGCTAGTTTTAAAAAAAGAGGTCTACTTCTTTTTCCATTCAGGTATTAGACAGTCCCTGGGAAGTATTTTTACAAATTTAATATCTCGAACGGCACGGAAAGATCGATAAAAGTACATCATTATGTGGTTTATATTTTACGTATACCGAACTTGCGTAAAGAAGTGGGCGATAAAAGTTCCTGCGTGCGTGCCTCAACAAGCCAAATTAACGTAGGTATCAACTGTTCTGTACCCCGCCCATTTTGGTGAGGATTTCGGACATTTCATGCCAGTCAAAAAAGACCTTTCATCGATTTGACACATCTACAATTACGTTTTCTAAAATAATTATTGCGAGCAAATTTTCATTATTTTCTGTTGAAATACAATACACGCTACAGAAAAGTTAGTTGCTTAATCAAAGGGTAGTACCTTTTAGCTCATCTTACCAAAATTACTTCATATTCTCGTGAAAGATCAGAAAGATGACAGTGTTTTGTGTTGGTTTTCCAGTTGCTAAAAAGCTTCCCACGTGGAGTACCAAAGCAACCATGTGAATTTACACGTTAGATTTTGTCGTTTCTGATTGGTCTTTATCTAACATTTTTATCCCTCGTGATTTTTTCTTTTGTCTTTTGACCAATCAGATCGTTTAGCTTGGCGTGTAATTTCCATGACGTTTGGGCGCGTGACACATATCTTGTTTTCGTTTTGATAATATTTACAATCCGCGTACAGCACATGCAGAGAAAAATTTCTCTCGTGAATATTTCGTTTCTGGCTCGCCAAATCTTCACATTGTGAAACGCCATGAATATCGAACAGCTGTTAGAAGCTGCTAAAATCATCGAGCAAAGAGATGAAGGTAAGTTTTGTTCGTTTTCTGCCAAAATTTCGCGGCACATGTCGTTCTCACGCCCCGCTAATGTCCTCTTTCCGCCCCAAACTACAGCGAAGAAACGAAGCCAGGCGTCTGTCAAACGGGATAAAAAGCAAACGAAACGTTCACCCAGCTACAGGTAAGACTAACACCCTCTCCTTTGAAAGTTTTTGATCAAAAACACTCGTCCAAGGCTTTCTGCCACGTTGCATGCGTTACGGTGAAAATTTTGCGCTCGAATTATGGCGCCCAGTGTTTTGTTCGGTGTACCTTATGTACACAGCAGATGTGAAGTACCTTAACGGCTATTTCTTTCTTCTGAAACATCATGAAAGCTCTTCAAAAATTCTCTATGTAAGGGAAAAGAAATACGAAAGTAGCAAGTGTTGTCAGTTCCATTCTACAAGGCTGAAATTGATTTTGTGAAATAAGCATGTTGTCAGCAACTGAAAACGCTTCCTCCAGCAGTTTTTCTCCTAGGGTATTCCCCCAAGACAGCGTGGGATGTATTTGCAGGGTTCGTTTCGGTCTAAAAATTTTATGTTGACAGACTGTCGTACCTGTAAACCTCTATAATGTCCGTAAAGTGTGGGGTCTGGAGTTTCGTGCTAGCGAAGTACCACTCGCGGCTTTTCTTTCTGTCTCTAAAGTTTCATGCATGTTTTATAAACACAACGTTGCCCTCGAGAACTTGTATCTATCTGTTGTCCAGCCTGTGGGAATTGATCAGGTTTTTTCTTGTATTATGTATTTTCTTCCCTCGGAGAATCAATTTTCATAACTCTTTTAGGTGGTTCGTTAACTAATGACAATCTTTCACCTCTTTACTTTCTATATATTACCCACTGTCAATGCTACCAGCCGTACAACACATAACCAGTTGGAGAAAAACCGGTAAGTATGCACGACCAGCTACATCACCTAGAACGAGCATTAAATCACTAAGCAGTTTAATCAGGAACTCAAAAGCTTTCAAGGAGGAAGAAACATATTTTTTTGTCAATGTGTGTTTCGGTAGGAGGTTTCCGCTCGACAAATGTTTCGCTCTTTTGCCACGTGGCCCATCAAAACAACAGATTGCACGTGCAAAATACATACCAAGTTGAATACGTATGCACGCGTGAGAAGTGGTTTCTTTATAAACCATAAGTCTAGTCTTTCCAATGCTAAATCGCTAGGGGAAAAAGAGAATTTTAATTCTTTTCAATGTCACCTTAACTATTGAAATGAATATTTTGATTGAGGTCCAGATGGATTGCACAGATCTTGGGCGCCAAAAATAAAATATCGCGGGTCAGTAATTTTCCTAGTGGTGGATGTTATTGGTGCAGTGCAATTATTTCGCCGGGTACCAGTCGCGCAAATTTTCCGCCTATATCGTCAGGCGAATTAAAGAGTCCATTTAGCGATAATAATCTGTTTCTAAGCTTCAAATTGAAAAGGAAATTGTGCTTGAGGCTCTTTATACTGGAATTAGGCCTTTTTTAAAAATGACCAGCTCGCTGCCCATCCTTTACCCAAAATCACGCCATCCCAATTAATTGAAGAAAAAAAAAATGTATTCTGTCGTGTCTGATGATGGAAGCTCTCGCTTGCGGATGATGTTCCAAGCTATTTGTTTTTAAAAGCCAATAGCAGGTTTCATTAGCCTCAATGTTAAAATATGGTAATGTATTTAGTTTCTTTTCTCCTTATTCCTTCATCAGGCGAGCTCACCTAAGAGATTGTCTAGAACTACTAAAAGAACTTGTTCCTTCGCCACCGGAACATCAAAAAGCTACCACATTAGCATTACTTCAGAGTGCTCAACAATATATTCAGGTAAACATTACACTTCATTTTTTCTTAATATATAGTGACTTTGATTCTAAAACTACGATACAATAACTTTTGACGTTGAAAGGTTTTTGTTATTATTTGGCTACTGGTGCAATAGAATAGAAGAGGGTTATAGGTCCAAACTAGCTATTTGAGAATGCTACAGATTTGCCAAATGCAAATCTGGTATCTTATGTTTTTACCCTATGAATCAAAAGTGTTCAAGCAGATGTTTTTTGGAAGTTGAAAATAAAAGCAAAGGCTTGCATGAGAAGAGGAGAAAAAAGTTTAATTGTGATGAAATCAAAATAATTGGTTCAGCTAGCCCTTTTTATATTCCGTAATTTTAAAGAGTTTTTTTTTTACAGCCTGATCTGTTTACCACTAGGGACTTAATATATGTGAATTAAATGTGTACAGTTTTTATGCAAATAAGAAATGTTAATGAGTTTTTTCTATTTTGAGCTTCAAATATATTTCCTTCATATGAATTTGTCTCAAACAGAGCTTAGACGAAAATATCATCTTTTATTTCCTGTGTTGCCATTCTTGTACAATAAGACAAAAATTCCAAGAGGTTTTCACTTATGACTATCCAGTGGCTTTGTTCCATAAGTTTTAATTTTTGTAACACGTCTTTTAAAGGCTTTCTACAAGGCTGTCAGTTTAAAAAATTTTCTGTTTTACGGAGAGGAGATTAAAAAAAATTCCACTGGGCAGCCCTGAAAATAAAAGACATAACCTTTGTTCGGTATTTACAATGTAAAAGAAGCCGATTGTTAATTACTATGAATACTGTAGAGAATAGCTGTTCTATATATTTTCTCTTGGGAAAATAATTCTTTTGTTTTGGAGATAAGTGTGACATTTTTTACTGAAAGAATCAGGGCAATTCTGCTTCTGTTTTGGTGCCCAAAGGAAAATCATCTCTCCCTTTAAAGAAGGCTCAAACTGGTGAAGAACATTTTCCTTTTTGAAGATAAAGTTGAGATGCCCCCCCAAAAAGAAAAGTATCCCGCCGACATTATTTAGAGCTGCACTGCTTGCATCTAGTTGTTGGAGCTGCTAAAGTGTGAAAAATTACAGGTGCAAAGTTCTTGGAATTGTCATTATAAATTTGGCTTTCAAAATTAATATTGTTGAGCTCAAAGGCAGGTTAAGTCTTCACAGAAAGAAGAAAGGTTTTTTGTTAGCATACAGCTTAATCCAAACAACCATGTACATGTTTGTAACAGAATTTTACCTGAAATGTTCTTGTTTTTGGGATGTGAATAAAATGTTTGATAAATATGATAGCTTGATGGGTGGTGGCCTACTTACTTCATAACAAAGTGATTTGCATAAAAATATCATGACATTGTATGGACATGGAAATTACTTTGATTAATAATAATGCAGTGTTAGCTTCAAACATTAGCTTTGAACTTGGTAATGTTGACGTCCCAAACGTTTGTTACATGTATGGCTGCGCTTTTAGCGTGTGCTTATTTTTTTAACGTAACACTTTTACATGGCCTCAGTATCTGCAGCCAACAGATAGGGTCTTGTAATCTGCTTAGAATTATGACTCTTGTTAATTATACAGGCCTTATTATCTGACTGGTGGATGGCAGTGTTTTTAGTCCTTCTGAAGCTGGCTTTTATAGAGATTAGTCTTCAAAAAATGCCTTTCATAGTTAAACATGGTTATAAAACGATACACTTCTTTGAAATTGGTCTGATAATGCTTCAAGTTATTCTCCAACAGTCATGGTTATGCTATGTTTTTGGTTCATTTTTGCACACAAATTGCACAAAATTGAAATTTTAAGTTGAGGTAAATATAAAAGCCTCTCTACAGCAACATGTGGAGGAATACAGTAGAACCCTGTTAATAGAGACACCAGAGGGATTTTCTGAAGTGCCACGAATGTAATTAAGCAGGCTTTCCAAGATAAATGTCAAGGACATAAAAATTTGTGGTATGTTTTATTAATAGCAAAATCAAGGTATAGGACTGCTAGGACATATATTTTATATAAAAACAAGTTCAAGTTGTAGAACATATATTTTATATAAAAACAAGTTCAAGTAGTTTGTTGATACTTTTGGTAGATGGTTAGAAAATAATCTTGCATATTCATGTATGCCTTAAGTATCCAGTTTAGCTTCAGTTAATTGAAGTACCTAAAAATGTTTTCCTTATGGTCCATGTATGGGCCATTCCAAAGTAATTTAAACAGAAAATTAAAAAAAAGTAGCTGAAGAGTAAAATAAAAATGCTAGAATGGTGCTACATATGCCATATCCTTATGTGGATATTCATGCAGCCCTATACATTAATTTTATTATACATGGTTCAACACATTTGAATACTTTAAAATGCATTGCAACGTTTCTCAATGATTCGTAAGGCATTTGCAACATTTGCCATGAATGCGTGCAACTTTGTCAAATGATAAAGAATGATTTTCCAGTGTTGTTCAAAGCCTTTTTTTGCGTGACGATAGAAGTGACCTTTTTACAATGCGCTGCACACCTACCCATGCTCCCTGGGGAAAAGCGTTGCGTGACAACTCTAGAGTGCAAAACATAAATCGGCACATTGTGACTAGACATAAACTACCTTTGTCGATCAAACAAGCGCCTAGTGCGGATGGACCGAAATAGAAAGTATAGTTGTTTTCAGCACTTGGATACAATGTAAATAAAGCCTTTAAAAGCAGTATTGGAAAGTAACATACTTTGAATGAAAAAAAAAAGCTTCAAATTGCATTGGATTATATATTTCATGCTTCGATACTATCACATTATTAGCTAGTCCCAGTGAAATAAATATCCGGCCAAAAACCGACGAGCCATTCAGTTTTTTCTGGTTTGGTTGAAGAAGATTTTGCTAAGACTCAGGAAGATCATAACCTTGATCGTACTTGGAAGTTGATAAATTTTAATAACAGAAACATCATTTAAATATAATTTTTAAAGAACAAAAAGTCCAAAAATATTCTGTTTCTTTTTGTGTTGTGAATGGAGTGTCATTTGTCTAGTTGTTTCTAGAAAATGAATACTGTATCCTTTGTGAAACCTGATCCTGTGAACTACTTCGTTTCCTAGCAGGTGACCGAAAGTCTACTACAAAATTTCATTGCACAATGTTTTCTTAAGAGTTGATTTGGAGTGGAGAAATCTATTGTACAAATATCGTGGTTTCTAGACTTATTTTGAAGATGAGAAGTGAAGATATGTTTCTTGAGAAATTATGTATTTTACTGCGTTTTCATTCGGTTACATGGCAACATTTTTTCAAACTTGAATATGCGCAACTTGTCTCACAAGCTATCAAAGCAGACCACGAGGCAGCTGAGCATTTCGTTTGTCATCCATGATTATCAACTAATCATCATTGCGATGAACGATTCCAAAAATTGGTTATCTTTGTATGCTGATTGGCTCCGAATTATAAATCTATTGTTACTTACTTTTGGAAAACGAACTCAATAGCAATGGTGACTACTGGGGCATGCGCAGTAGTCACCAAAAAAAACAATCAAAATTGTTTAATGTACTCATTTTTTTAAAATTATTTTATCGTTTTTCATTTCAAGGCTGTGTTCTAGCAAAAGCTGAGGGCTCTGAACATGCATGTATGAAATCCAGGGTGCCCTTTACAGTGTATAAAAATTTTTTATTGATTTTTTGCATAAAACAGGGTCACTGAAATTTACTTTTCAGCTAAAGGTGAAACTAGGTTGTAAGGTTGGTTAATTGAGAGGGTGTGCTAAGTCAGTAGTTATATTAATAAATCCTAGCCTGATTTTACCGGGCTTGTGAAGTTGGCCAGAAACTATGTATTAGGGGTCACAAAATGTTATAGACAAAGCCTTGTTTACACTTTTTGCCTCATTAAAATATTCTTATTTTTACCTGATAAAGCTAATAAAATACAATTTCTGAATATTTGAAAGAAAGTAATGATTGTCGTGAAAGATATAAATCATTGTGGATAATATGTATAAAGGGTTTAAGTTTCATCCTTTGTCTCACAATTGTCACTTTGGTATTGATCATGACTTTTTGACCGCGCACTCCAGGTCTTCATCAGGTGATAGGCTCGATTTACTGAGTCATACTATTTGATTTCAGATATCTTTGTAATTTTGCGCCTAATAAACCAAATACTTTTGAAGAAATTTTCTTTGTAAAACCCCAAACTTTAGAAAAACGTATGTCGAACATTTTTGCCATTCACTGCCATTTCGTAGTTTTGATTGCTGCTAGTTCCATTGTTATTGATTGCAAAGAGGTGAAACTTGTAGAAAGTGCTCACATTAACCAGCTCTTTCAACGTTTGAATGAAATTTGTACATAGGGCAATGTCCTCTATGAGTTTATTATGCTTGTGAGCAAAAATGTAAACAATGACATCAGCAAGGATTTGACTATAACAATGGTGTTTTTGATTCAAATGTTATGAAACATCCTGTCTTGGCTCACTAAGTGAAAAAGAAATACATGTATATATTGTTATTGTAGTTATTGCAAGGTGATGCAACTGACATTTTATGTCCAAGTGATAATGATATAAGTAAATAAGATTTGGTTTTGTTAGGTCTTTGATCTTTTTTTCAGTTATAATCAAGTGATCTGATTTGAACATTTGATTATAGTTGTTTCAAATGTTGTACTTTTTGCAAAATATTTCTCAATAAAAACCAGTGAAATGAACTTATTTTAAATTGCTTTCTTACGCGATAAACAAGAACTTATTACATGACCAAAATCCTCATTTTTTAAGTGGTCAGAAATACTTTGGATTACAACCATTGAATTGACTTAATAACAAGTTGGACATTTTTGTGCTGTTAGTTACAGTGCAACTAGCAACTGCCATAGCAAAATTTTACATGTACATTGTAGATCCACCATCCATGCTCAGTGGCAGTGTAAAATAAAACTAACCCCCTAAGAGGCCCTGCCAGGGTAAATTCCGACAAGCGACATGGCCTAAAAAGTAGCGACAGCGTGTAAAATGAAATCACCACAAGAGACAACCTCCCCCGGCCAAATTGCGACGAAGACGGCAAAGCCGACAATAAGCGACAGGCATTTATAAACACCGACCCGAGACGTTTTAAAATTCAGACGGGCAATTTGGGACCCCCTGTCAGGGCCTCCCCGAACCTCTAAATCTGTGGACGAAATCCTGTGGTGTTATCATCAAATGAAGCCTCTTTGCAGAACTTTTGCTTAGCCGAGTGCCATTTATTTCTAAGATTTCACAAGAGAAATTTGATATTTTTGTGAAATGCTTCTTCAGTCAATTTCCTATGCAGCCATGCATTTTTTGTCTCGTCATGCAATGCCCGTCCTCATATTAAATAGGTGCTGAGACCTGTTCACTCACTACATTCCATTCCACACATATAGCTAATTTGACTTCTGCTTTTATTTTCTGGAAGTGATGCACACCAACTTCATGATACGGTGACTCCTGTCTCCAATCTCCTCCTTCAGTCTTGCTGTAAGTGATATTACACATGAGACTGACAAAGCAATTTCAAAATGTTTGGACTAGCTAGGAAGAGCTCAATCCAGTGTCATCTTCACAATCTTATTCCAAACTTCTCAGATAAAATGATAATCAGGAGCTTGCAGATTGTAGCAGCTGTGTTGATTGTAAATGTGCGTTGAAGTTCTGGGGAATCAATGACTAAGTTTGCCAGATTTCTTGTGTTCAGCGTACCAATACCCTTGAGAATTTGCATCATTCACAGCAGCATAAAGAGCACATTCATTATGGGAAATTCATCATATACATTGCAAAATTAACAAACCCCTCTTTTAATGAGAAACTTTGACAGATGTGGGCAAATAAACATGAAATGAATGATTTGTTGAAATTAAGAAGCAGTTCTTTTCATTATGCCTTCTTAATGTCTTGTCAAGTTTCTGAAACATGATTGATTTGTCCATGAGACCATAAACACAAAGGGAAAGGAATGTTGTGTGGTTCTCACCAGCTACAGCTTGTGGGGAGTAACATTGCATGATGACACAAAGAACAGCTGCATATTAGAAGGGGCAGGAGCAGCGTGCAAAGAAAGTCGTGTCCGATAGCCCAGGGCTAGTGGATTTTGCAATCGGGCCAGTGAATTCTGTTCTTAACTTGCCGGAAGGGCAGGGAAGGTTGTTGGGGAATTCAAGTTACAGAAGAATTGTAATCAATGCTGCTAATCAACATTTTTTGGGGGCTAGTGAAAAAGACTCTTGGGCTAGTACATACTAGCAACAACTTGTCCAAATGGCAAGCCGTAAACTGACTTTCTTTGCACCCTGAGGAGTCAACTTGTATGCTGCTGTGACAATATCATGTGCCTTTATGATGACTGCTTTTTGAAAACTGTTGAAACAGCAATTTGATCATTACTTATCCGGTAATAGTATTGGCAAAACCAACAAATTGTGTTCTCCACTGAAATATTTTCAAGGCTGTGCTCTAGCAGAGCTGAGTGGCCCGTGGCACCTAACTTTTGTTCTTGGGCAACTAGAAAATCTTAGCTTTTTCATAGAAATCATAAGGAGGGCAGACTGGATTTCACAAGTTCAGAGCACTGGGCTCCCTTCAATTTTTTTTAGAACACAGCCTTGATATTGATCCAGTGGATAGGGTTATCGATGCGTTATCCACCTTTCAGACAACTGGGGCCTGCTAGTTAACTTTTGCTGATCTCATGCGTCTTTAGGCATTACAAATGTCAGAGAGGGAAGCATTGGATACAAAGAGGAAACTGAATGAGGAGCATTTTGCACTTCAAAGAAGACTTGCCTCCCTTCAAGGCCGCAGTGACAAATTGATGATGGGTATCAAGAGGCCTCGTCATTCAGAAGGCGAGTCCTCCACCAGCAGTGAAGAAATAGATGTAGAGAATGATGAAGAAACAGGATATGTTAGCAGTGAGTCTGATGACCGCTTTAGTATTGGTAGCAGTACTGGTAGTGATGGTGGATTAAGTGTAAACTCTAGAAGAGTTTTTAAATCTTCCTAATTCTTGGCATGCTACTCAGTGAAGTTTTTCATTGTTTCACTGTGCCATACATGTTTCAACACTTACTGGTATTGAGTCCATATTAGTTAATTTTTAAGTTGGTTTTTAAAAAAATTATTATTAAGGGGTGGGTTTGGGGGGTCAGTCTTGTTAGATTTTATTAAAAAGAAAAAATTGTCAGCTGCGGGGGAATGTCACAATTTCCTGCTTCTCTGGCAAGATACAGTACACCACTGTGAAAAAATTTTAGAACTACATGGATTAAAAGGCACTTAGTCCTAATCATCTTCATTAAACCTTCTGAAAAAGCTTCAATCTGTTCTCACAGAATCTTTAGAATGATTCTTGGTGTGTGTACAAAATTAACATATATCCGTCTGGAGATAAAAATTATCTTCACTATTTGTATCAAAAAGTTACTCGATGACTTGAATACTTGCTTAAGGCTGTTTTTAAATGTCCTTATACAGGGCCATACTTCTATTAATGTATCAGCTTAAGCAATATATCTTGCATCAACTAACAACCATCTCATCTTTGAAGATGGGATGTCAAACGTGTGAAAAATAATAATATATCCTGTAAGAGTTGTAAATAAGGGAATTGTGTACTACAGAACTCGGCCATCCAAAAATATATTGAAGATCTAAATGATTTGAAAAATCAACTATTCTTGGTTTGCAACCGTGTAACAAGGCGGCCATGTTGAGGGTCAGAACAATAGAATTTTTTCTCAAAGAATTTACAGCGATGAAAAAAGAGTTTAGTTCCCAGAGGAGAGAAATACTTTTGTTCTTGACCGCCAACATGGCCATTGTGACTTGTGCAAATGAGCAATACAGAGTGACTTAACCACACAGATTCTTTAGCGTGTCAGTTGTCAGTCTTTTTTATCCAAGGCAGTGCTCTATGAAGAAAAAATGAAGAAGGACCATGCTCTAAGCTCTAAACTTTTGAGATACATGGTTTTAAGTCCCACTTGGGGGTTCTCGACAAAGGTTTATATGGAGAAGCTTCATTTCAAGGTCCAACCCCTTACCATTTTGTATTCCTTTTTTGACGGAAAAGTTTCCCCTTTTATGTACTTTCTATTGACAAATAGTACCCTTTTACGAACCATATATGTACTTTAATTCACAAAAACAGAGTGTTTTCTCAATTTTTTTTCACAGCCATAAAAGAGATATGTTTGCCCTTTTAGACTGAAATGGCATATTTTGCTACCTTTCCATATACTTCAACTAGTGAAATTTCTGCCCTTTCATACACCTGGCTCCTGAAAAAGTTACCGCTTTTCGATGGAGCCTCTCCGTATAGGTTAGAGATCTGGCAAGAGGGAACCAGTCAGTTATGCATTCAAACAGTTTTTTTTCATTATAATGATTCCCCCCTGCCCCCAATCTGCGACCTAGCTTATGATTTCCATGAAAAAAATTAAGATTTTCTAGTTGCCCAGGAACAAAAACTAGTTGGCAGTGGCCACCCGTCACTGCTAGAGCACTGCCTTGTGCCTTGTGGGGGAATTAGGCAATAAGCAGGTGTTGTAAGACTTTGTCAACTGTCTTAAGCCAGAGCCCACTGGAACTGGCACTCAGTGCCCATTTTAGGGGAATAACAGCTTGATAGAGAGTCGAAGAAAGAAATGACACTCGCAGATGAATGGCAGGCAGACCAATCCTAGCCGTCCATTTTAGGGAGGTACCTGTTGAGAGAAAATTGACAGTATTAAGTAGGGGTGTTCTAAAAGTTGGTGTTGTAGTCAGCTGAAGTTATGATTGAAAAGTTTATCAAAAAGAAGATTCTCTGAAAACAGCAAGACTGGAAATGACATAGGTGGTACAATATCTATGACAAACAGTGTGCAAAGAAAGTAGTGTCTGGTAGCCCAGGCCTGGTGGATTTCCTATTAGGCTTGTGAATTCTGTTCTTAACTTGCCAATGGACAATTCACGCTTTTTGGGGAATTTAAATTACAGGAAAACTGTAACCAATCCTGTTCATCCAAAAAAATTTTCGAGCTAGCTGATATGACTTTTTGGCTAGTATGTTCTAGCTACAGCTTGCACGAATGGCAAGCTGTAAAACTGACTTTCTTTGCACCCTGAGTGACAAAGATAGCTTTTCTGGTCAACTAATCCACCAGGTTGTAACAATTGCTGTTATTAAGGAATGTTTTTATTCTGATTATTATTCCTAAAATTAATTTTTAACAAGCTAGGTATTTTCATTGAAAAACTTACAAAGGCTGGTAACTATGACAAAATATTCTTATTTTCAGTTTGTTATCATGTTTGTAACAAGAGTCGATTTGTTACGCAAAGTTTTCAGACTGTTTGGCTATGTTTATTCACTCTATAGTGGATAGTATGAACACCTGTCTGATATGATTCTCCACTTGAGAAATCGGCGCAGCGCAGCTTTGTTCTGTCACAGAAATCGCACCACCACAACTGTTCGTATTTGTGAACAGAACCCCTATCCAGTATGATTTTCGTGGCGACAGAAAAGCTCTCCGGTATTGTGTGAATATAGCCTTAATTCTGAACAAATTTTGCCAGGAGACTACCAGTGTGGTCTTTACCAGTAAAATAATATTATTGTCCACCTTTTCAGTCATGGAGGTCACTGCATAAGGATTATGCTTAAAATCCCTTTGTGGGCTTAGATTTACTCTTTTTTTCTGTAGATAATAATTGTAAATTTTCCTTACCAGTGTAAATGTCAGGTTCATCACCAAAATATTCTATAAATAATTATTAAATATTTATGATATGGGGCTCTTTCAGGGTACCTAATTAATATCTCCTATCCAATCACTTTTTCATCTGTGTATAATCTTGGATGGTAGTGTTTGTATTTTTAATGTGATCTGTAAATAATGTGTATTTTTGAGCAAAAAAAAAGTGTACCTAAAAGATGACATTTTTATAAATTATTATTGCCAGAGTTTCAAGGAATAGCAAATAAACTCGCGTTTGAACAACTTCAAACAATATTGGCTTCTTTCAGTATTGTTGTGTCTTGTGGATTTCAACATTTTACTTAAGAGTAACTTGTAAATGTAGAGGGGTTCAATAGCTTTCATGGTAGAGAAAATTTCACCAACAAGCCTCGTTTTGAAATTGTAAATTGGCGACGATTTACCTAAATGAATTTCCTGGGCAACAGAGTTGAAAAGCATACCCAATCCCATGCTAAAAGGATGCAAGTCGACAAAAGAAGTTTAGTGGTGAAATTTGATAATCAGACGTCAACGTGCAATTGTTTTTTGAAGTGTAGCTGTTCAGTACGGGGTTCAGACTAGCCTCCCAAGCAGTCGTTTTTAGGGGATGAAAAACGAGCTCCACGAAAAACGACTGCGTGCGAGGCTAGGTTCAGACAGTCTTAAAAATGTCCTTGAATGTTTACCCTGCAGCAGAGGCCCTTTGATCTTCCTAGATGAGTCGACTTATCTAGGAAGATCGAAGGGCCTCTTCTCGCAGGGTTTGAATTTTAGGGCGAGTCGTTGAAAAGTCCTTGAAATCCATTTCTCCATATTTCTGAGCAAGTCCTTGAAAAGTCCTCGAATTTTCTTCAACTTAGAATGCAGTGGCCTGGAAACTGTTTTTTAATGCTTTTTGGTTGTCCAAGACAAGATTTCCAAACACTCATCCTTTGTATTTTCTTTATGAATTATTAACGAGTTTGAGAAAGAAGAATGAAACGCAATGGATAACACCCGAGACGTAGAGGAAAATCGATGAGAGCTAAGGAAAACCAAAGACCACCCAGGGGCGGATCTAGGGGGAGAGTGCAGGGGGTGCGCAACCCCCCCCCCCCCCCGCCCCGAGATGACCTGCGGTTTTCTAATACAACTGTTATTCCGCAAAAAAAAAAAACGATGTGGTTTATTGGTGTTGAAGTAGAGCAAGAGACGATTGCACCCTCTCCTGAAAAAAAATCCGCCCCTGCCACCTGCTTAGTGAAAAGTCCCCCAGACTGACTCGGCGTGAAAGAAAAGTAAAGTCAAAGCCGTTAATATTTAGAGAAAATGTAAGGAAAGGCTTTTCCCAGGGACAAAGAAAACTGAGTGTAATAAAGTGGTGTCCGTACCAAAGTTTGTTTCTTTAAGGGGGTCGGGGAGCAAAGAAAGTAAGATGCATTGAAGACACAAACATTACATTTTATTTTATTACTTACAATTGCTCTTTACTAGTTTTAACTCCAATGTAGTAGGAACAGTTTACCAAATTACAGCAAGATACCTGTTTGAGAGAGCTATACTACAATGACAACTTGACTTCAAAAACGCCATTACTCGCCTACTTCCACGGGAAAAGAAATTGTAATTCCCCTGATACAAAATGGCAAAAAATGATCTGCTCGGATTTTGAAACTGACTTCACAATTTTTATCCAAATTAACCGGCTTTTAGGGACTCAGAAATTTGATCACTTTTACGCGTTTGGAATCAACAGTAAAAAAAGAAAGAGAAATGTCCTTTGTGCACTTAAGAAATGTTCTGACTAAAACAACAAGTTGAATGAGAAATCAAAAAGGCACATTTTTATACTACAATTATTGCAAGGGCTCAAGCATAAAAAAAATACTTTAGAATCTACGGATCGAAGAAGGTGAACGCTGGAAACGTTAAATCCGACTTAAGGTACGGTAAAAGCGCAACAAAAAAACATGCCACTTCTCCTGCAACATTGCTACAAAACGAGTGGAATAGTGATGTTGCGCTTTTTACCACCAACATCAATTAGCCGTCTTCCAACAAATCAGACTGCGAACAGGTTTAAACATGGGTGGTAAAACCCGCAACATCGCTTTTCAACCGTTTTGTAGCCATGTTGCAAAACAAGTCGCACGTTTTTGTTGTCCTTCTCACCGAAGCTTCAAAGTTTCTCAGTCCTACTGAAACACAAACAATTAGTTTTGGACGTCGCTGAACGACTAAAACGTGACATTTTCAAAGTTCATGTTGTATAGAGGTCGTAAGTTTTCTATCTTGTTCTTTTTCTGACATTGGATATAATCCTTAAGAATTCAACTACAGAAAAATTCGCCAACATTTGACAAATTGAACTACTAGGTGGAATACCGTAACGACGAAGTTTGAATCGGCAGGAATTTACTCTTTTAGTGAAGTTTTCGTTGCCGTCGCCGTCGGGGTTACCTAATCTCCCTTATAAACTGCAAATTCAACGAAAGCTGGGATTTCCAGCTATTATTCATTATTTTTATAACGCAAAAAAAAAAAACCGGGGTTAATCCGCCTCCTTTCGTCTGTGTGAGTGACCTACAAGAGGTTTCTCGTCTTATTAGAGCCGACTGCCTTAGTACCTAGACTTAACCACAAAAAGATGACCCAACGAAAAGGGACTTTTAGGAAGTCTAACCTGCCGTTTCTCGGGCGAGTGAGGGCAACCGCGAAGCCCCAGACACGCGCGACTCCCGCGCTTTTCCCCGTCGCGCGTGTCTCGCGCTCCAAGCCCGCTTCGTGCCCGAAAAACGTCAAAAAATAGCGCCTGATCTGCAATCTTGCTTAACCCTGAAAGTCCCAAAAAGTGACCAACATCAAGTTTCTCTTAACAACATCAATAGATAATCAAGAGAATGGGATATGAGAATCCGGTAGAAAAATGATCACCAAAAGGACAATGCTTTGATCTTTCAACAAATTCTCTCAGCCAGTTTTTCAAGGAAACGTATGGAGATCAGTAGGGAGAGTTTTTATGTGGATATTGGGGCTTAAAGACTTAATACTTTATGTGCAGATGTCTCCTGAAATTGGAGACGTCTACAGGAAGGTAATTACTTTGAATTGAAAATAAATAATATCAAATGCTCATTTTAAATGACAGGGCATTATGCAATAGTGTTGTATTCTACAGACGGCTTGACCATTAGCTTAACAGCTCGGGATCCTTGACGTGTTTCTTTAAATATTTCATCATTGAAAATGTCTGGAACCTTTTTAAACCTGGAAAACAGGAGTTGATAGGTTACATAAAAGAAGTTTAAAAAATAACAGTAGAACATCACATGATATAATAATCATGACCATCAAACCGCATCAACAGCAACACATCCTACTTTATTTATATAATTATCACTGTAAGAAGCATGAAAGTACTAATTGGGAACACTTATTTATTAAGTCCTGCCCACACTTATCTGGATATTTTCAAAAGCGTAGGCTATCTCAATCCGATTCCAAACCGAGACACTTGAAAAAAAAAATTGTTCTTACCGAAGACTTGGTAAAGCTGTTCATCACAAATTGTAAATCTCTTATTTTTAGGATCCTAGAATGATAACAAAAATATTTAATTTTTAAACATAGTTCTACAAGAAACTGGAGAGTCAACAACTAAGGTGGCTTGCCGAGTTAACTTTTTCAGAAGTAAAGCTCTGGTAACTCTTGTAGTGTGTCTAATTATGAAAATAATATACAAAACAATAATATCCTGCAAAACACAATTTGGATAAATGTTTGTCATGGTTGAGCTCCTAAAGTGTCCAACTCTTGTGAGAGATCACCTATCTAAATAACCAAATCAGTTTACCTTCATCAAAAGTTTATTGGTAAAAGCAGTCTTGTAAGCTGCAACTTATCACAAAGTACCTAACTTGAGATCAGGCCCAATTTTAGCCGCCTCCATACATTCTCTCTTACATGGTCGCACTAAAATCTCCTTTCGTTTCGCCCTCCTGATCTCCGGTTATAAAGTACTACCAAACCTTAGCATTTCAGGTTGCAATAATGTTTATTGCTTAAAGGTGGATGACACTTCCCACAGTACAAAACTCTATCCTATTCCAGTAGATGCAGTCAACTCTTGCCTTGCGGACACCCCAATAATACGGACAGCGGCTTAATCCCAGGCAAAAATATATTGCAGACGTTTGACTGAAATCAACTCCCGCTATTACGGACTCTTGCTAATGAGGACACTAAGTCGAGGTCCCTACACTTTCTTCTATAAAGGTAGTTGACTGTAATGCAATTTGCTTCCCTAATACTTATACACTGGAAGGTGATTTATCCATAGGATAGTTATCTGGCATTTCAACAACCAGGGCCAGCTGGTTAAAATGGAAGGTTTGAAAGCAATTCATGTGTTAAATCTTGTTTTGTTACAACGTCATATTAATCAAAATAACCGTTACCATGGCAACAACAGAACTCGCTGAAAAGTGCCTCAGGCTAAAACTTGCTGTCCTTGAAATAACTAACAGAATTAATTTGATGACCTGTTATTTTCCAATCATTTCAGAATGCACCATGGTAATGTTTACTTTAAATTCTAATAATAATTATTAGTAACATGACGAAAACTGTCTACGACTCTAATATATTTTCTCTCAAATATATTGTGTCTATATAAAGTACCATGAACTAGATATATACCTCTAACTTTCTCTCTCTTATTATTTCCCACATTTTTTTCACAATATCACTTCTTGCCATCTAGAAAAAAAGAACAAGGTTTCCTGGCAAATTTAATAATTGCTACTCCAAGTTAATTAGAGCTCTATTACATGGAAGGTGAAAAACAGATTGTATGGTTCCATTGTGTTGTATTGCTTTATTGGCTTAAACCCTTCCCTCCCCACCCCCAACCCCTCTGCAAATTCAAGTTCAGCTTCATAAATTCCTTTAAAGATGTGTCCTTTCTGACCCCCATCCTTGGAATTTCTGATTACCCTCTATCGGTGGGTATGGATATTTTCTGGAAACACAGTCAGACTGTTTAACCATAGACCTCATTCAAGAAACCCAACATCTTTACAGGCACTTAAGGACTAGTAGGATAAAAGTGATACCATTACTGGAAGTATCCCCTTAGATAGGATCCTGTGCAACCTCTGTTTAATGTGAACTTTCAGTTTTTGAAATGGAACATCATGAGAGGTCCTGTTAGTTGTTAAATTATTTAGGTAAGCATTTTTCTAAGCATGATGCACCTAGGACTATTGCTACTCCCGCCTGGACAGGGTACTAGTCCGTGGCGGTACGTCACTGATTCCTATTTATACACCATTTACATATCCGCTAGATAGCATTATCCAACATTTGACCAACCAGGGCCTGGGTGAAGAGAGAAAAGGTGGAGCAAAGTTTCTTTCTTTTGGCAGGGCTTGATACCCTAACTTACAGATCCAAAATTAAAGGTGTTAACTGCTTGCCCACCATACCTCCACATTTAAAACATCAAGTCCTAAACTGAATATAATTTGAGCAGAAATAATTTATTGAACAGCATCAGTCCAGTATGTACAGAGCAAATGAATGATAAATAATTATTTCATCTGCCCTGCAAATAATGAAGTTATCATATTGCATTATTGACTAAGTGTGAGATCAAGATGGCTGGATGTGTCTTTATGGACCGAGAATAGAAGTCAAGGTTAATTAAAATGCAAAAAAGAACTGGGCCAATATGTACCCAACTTGATCAATCAAGCTTAGTCAATAAAGGATTTATCATATGGCCATAAACAGAAATTTTTCGTGCGGGACCAAAACGCGGGGAGTCCCGAGTGGGCAAGATAGGTAGATCTTGCCCACTCAGGTAGCCAATCAGAACACAGCATACACTTCATCTTGCCCGCTCACGATTCAACCATATAAAAATAAGGTATTATTAACTTTCATATCATGCAGGATTACTGAAGGTGCACAGGTTTGACTGCTCAGAAAACTCTGTGTAAGATGAAGACTTATGAAAAAGCAACTTACTCTGTCTTGTCCTACAAGTTCAGCCAATACAGGGGATAAAGCCATTAACTTTCTAAAGCCTGCAAACAAATTTTCCAGACCTCATTAGTTTCATAATAAAATTACTACTCATTGCTGCAGCAATCAGGCACTGGTGCATGACCTGCATGAAGTTCACTTCAAGCCAGAACTGATACCAAACCATAGAATTTCTCAGCTCAGAAACTCAGGCATCTGATTGACGAGATATGTCTTCATGCCCTTGCTGAATCTCAGTTCAATCCATTCAAAATTTACTGAGAAAAGCAATTTTGACTTGACATCATTAAAATGCAAAAATAATTATTGATGGAACTTACCTTTGTTTTCCCCTTTGCTTTCTTTTGGTTTCTTTGCACTTGCTGATTTTTTCCTTTCCTTAAAATTTGCAAAATACAAATAATAAAGAGAGGGTAATGTTACCACAACAAAGTCATAAATCTTATTAACTGGAAAAAGACAATGTATCCTTGCTCAGTATACATTTCAGTTAAATCCACAAGCTACAGGTAGAACAAAACTGTACCCTGTTGTTGCACACACTCACCACAGTTTTCTTTGTGTTTTGCCTCCTTGCTCTAAAGCCTTTTTCATCTTCATGAAGCTTGCGAGCTAACTCAGCATCATCAACAGTATGAGATTCCTAAGGAGGTTAAAAAGTAAAATATATTGCTATTTAAATTCATCATTTATAAGATTATTATTTCACAGTTTACCATAATATAGCCTGATTAACAGCCAGCTGACAGATATGATCAATGGCAACTGTAAAGTTAATATTTTAATTTAAAAATCTCTTGATTCAATTTTTTGCCTCTGTGGACACTAAAAATCATTACTATAAAGACAACAACAACCACCTAGTAACATGTTAGATTCAGTTTATTGCACAGTAGTCAAAAAAGGAAGAATGATTCCAATTTCTTCCACCCTTGTTCTTCAGACCTCATGACAATTTGAGACACAATTGGCCAACCCTTCCCCAGTCAGATGCTAATTTAAGCTCCCCCCTCCCCCACTTAGCTATTTTTCTAACCTCCCAATAATTTGAACTAGTTTCCTTTTCATACATGTATGAGGTTAAGAAAAACCCAGGTAATTCACTGCATTTTATTAAATAAATGGTTATATTAATAAATAAACAAATGGTGAATTCAAAAGCTTTGCTTATGAAAATGGAAGTGCACCTGACTAGCAGTAGCTAGTTTAAACAGGCCCTCTGCTCAAATAATTTAAAACAAACAATACAATGTGATTAAAACCAGGTGGCATCCATGTAGCTATGACCCAGGACTTGAACTTGTGATGCCTGAGAATCAAATCCAGCTAGTGGTAATAATGGGACTTGGGATTCTGGATTGCCACATTGCAGGTCAGATGCACTAACTACTGGGCCATGCCGCCTTCCATAAAACCAATGTTCATTCCAAAACTTTCTCACACTATTACTTACTTGTTTTTTCTTCTTTGCTGAAGGTTCATCATCCTATAGAACAAATTTATAACTACTGGTGAATAAATAAATACATGATAGGAGTTGTTTCATAAAATCTTAGAAAAGTCCACAACCTCTGAACCCAGAGAATACGGCCATCTCTCCTCGCTCCTCATCACTGGGGATGATTGGCCGAAGAGACATTTGCCATTCAGCCCTAAAAATGCTATAATGATGACGTAAATCATGTTTACATATTAATTATTAACCTGGTAGGACTTCATAGGCAGGAGAGGATTCCGCATTTAAGTTTGTTTGAGTTTTAATCCATGAATAACATATCCAAGATTAGTGCTAATATGAACTGGTTTAATGTTTGAGTTCTTCTGCAAATGAGTGGCAGCAAAACTCAAATGCCTCTTGAAAAGAATAATATATTCCACGAAAAATGACCGTTTTTTGGTAGCTTCATGGCGGTTACACAAATTAAAAGTGACCTTTAGTCTTTTGTCTGTCATTCATAAACAACATATTCTACAAGGATAAAATTACTAAATCGACCAATCAGTCGATGTTCACCAGATTCCTGACAAATCTACATCATCAGTATGGAATTTTTGTGTCTGAATCGCAGAAGCCTCTCATGCGAAACATCCAAAGTGATGAGAAGTGAGGAGTGACAGCTGTATTCACAGGCTACAACCTTCCCTGATTCCTCGTCCTCTTGGTCACTTCTTTCTGGTTCAACACCATTCGCCTGATCACTAGTTCCATTTTCCTGCTCCTTCTCATTTTCTGTTTCTTTCTCTTGGTTTTCAATCATTTCCATTAACATTGCATCAATTTCTTTTTTCCTAAAATTAAGAAAATTATAGGATATTATTACATATTTGAATATTTTGCAATAATATTGTTTTCTTTAAAATATCGATGCCACACAGTCTCACGACCAAAAATTTTCAAAACAACATTCGTATCACATAACAACAGACATCTTCATAAACGATCTAATAATAATATCATTAGATTGAAAAACATCTACAAAAGCACACTCTAAAAGATCAAGCTGACTGACTTCAGAGATAAAACACATTCCACACAAGTATTTCATCTATGAAATATGGCAATATTATTGATATTAACTTCTTTGCATCAGACCTGCCAACCCCTGATAAAGAAAAATCTGGAGACTCATGAAAAAAGTCTGAAGATTCTACAAAAAGTAGTGAGATTCTTTTTTCAGAAGCCCTTTTTCCATTGGGGGGCGGGGGGAGGGTACATATTTATTTTTTAAAATATTACCTTGCTTTATTTGTGGTCATCAGGTAGCAAATAAGGTCAAAAGTTACAACAATGGGTCATTTCTTACGGATAAGCCAACTAATCATGGCCATGAAAAAATGTTAGACAATCTGCCAACAAGGCTTTAAAAGACACTAGCATTCTCTACTGAATTTCCATTTTACTCAACTCATTTCAGAATGATTTTCTCCAAAAACCGTGAGATTGGGAGTGTTGTTGTGAGGCTGTGAGAAAAGACAAAAATTGTGAGACTCACGTCAGAATAGTGAGAGTTGGCAGGTCTGGTGCATTAATTAACCAGTGTAAAAGGTCTGTGAAATAACGTTACTCAATCAAATTCCATAAATTTTGATCGTTGTTTTATTAAAAAGCGCGAGGTAGACACTGAGCAACAGATCATGAGTCTCTGATTTTTTTCAGCTGAGACATACTTGCTGTAGAAATTTTGTACTATATTTTGGCCTTTAGTACATCTCTGCAAATCTCTGTTGAGAAAAATCACGAGATGTTGGTCTCTGTACTATGTTCGTTTAGACATAAAATCAAAATAGGGTCAAATATTTTTACCACGATCGAATGAATGACTTTCGTTACTTTTAGGGGACTTCACCAATTGCAAATGCGTTAGAAAAAGTCAATCTGCTTTTTACACTAGTAAACCAAGTTTTTATTGACGACTATACATTTTATTTCGTAACTTCATTTCGATATTTTACAACTGAGATAAACGTAACGCTGCTTGATTTCATCTTTTTTAATCTGGAATGTCACATTACTAGATCTATGAGCAAAAGTACACAAGAGTGTAAAAAATTTTACCGGTAATTACACGAACTTTACTCTCATTTTTATTTCTCCACGCAAAGGGGCTGTGAATAAACAAGCTTGGTTTCTCAAACAAATGCTTTCACTTTACCTTCCTAAGAAACTCACACCAAACTTCTCTTCCAGCTGAGTTCGGACAATTCTTGATGTGAGCTTGGAAAGTTCGCCTTCCCTTAAAATGTCTGAGAAAAAAATATGAAAAAGATATATACTTTCCCTTGCAAAAGGCTTGAGTAGAAAATCTAAATATCGTAAAATATAACTCATTTACCTGCCATTGCGCCCCGAATTTCGGCATCCGAAGGATCCGATCCTTGACCCGCCATTTTTGTTGTTGTACCATGCGTTTTGAGCATGCACACGCTCAAGGAATCATTCAGCGGTTACAGATGTCCTTGCAGGGGTGGGCTAAGTCCCGGCCAGGGTCCCGGCTCAGTCGATCGTGGCTCTTTCGCCGGGTGGTGAGCGTGGTGAGCTTTATATCTAGCCTGCGTGGCAGGCGCAAAAAGGGGAGGGGGTGGGGGAAGGGAGAAAGGGAAAAGGGAATCCAATCCAATCCAATCGAATCCTCCTCCCCTTTTTCCCTTCCTCCCTATCCCCTACCCCCTACCCCTTTCGACGCCTGCTACGCAGGCAACTTTATATCTTACCCTGGAAACCGTGGCACAGAAAATAAATATTTTGCGATTCGAAAATTGAAATCCTTATTTTCGGATTTTTTTAATAGAACGAGAAATTCAGAAACAAAGTTTGGATTTCTTATTGAAAATCCATACCTCCAGGGGATCCGAACTGATTCGTGGAAGATTCGTGGAGCCCCCAGTTAATCTCGTACCAAGATATCTGGGTACGAGATTAGCTCCCAGTCCTACAAATGTCCTAGTTAGGCGGAAACACTTGGAGGCAAAACCACTCAACGAGCGACATACCAGCGAGGGTCGGCCAGATCTTTAGTGGACCTGGATCAGTAAAATTTGCATCACCGAATTTTAAAATTAAAACAGTCAGAACTGATCCTTACGGCAGGAAGAGTAATAGAAAAAATAAAGAAATAAAACAAAAATAAAATGGCGAACTATATTTACCCGATTAGTGATTTAGGTTTGCAACACAAATCTTCAACGGGTCCCCGCTTGTAAAATACCGTATATATATAAAATACAAACACAATTCACCATTTTATTATTTTTCTTTCTTTATTTTTTCTATAAAGCTTCCTGCCGTAAGGGACCAGTCTACTTTTTTGATTTTAAAATGTAACAGACGGTGGGAAAAATTTGGCCGCGAGGAAAGAACGGGCGCGCGAGAGGGAGACAAGCGAAGGAGGTGCCCGTGCTGTATGCTGCCATGATTGCAGCCCATTTAGGGTCACCAGAGATTATAAAGCAGCAAATAAATAGTGGTACCGGCAGTTTTAAAGGTTTTAGAGTTTGGCGCTGTAATTAGGTAAAGGGCCCTGATTAGAGGGGAGGTAAAAAAAAGCAGTAAACTAATGTAATAAAAATTGGTCAAAATCAGCGAACCAACCGTTATTATACGATCTTATATAAATCGATGATCATTTTTAATTTGGCGCGCCACCCAAAATTTTCGGGGATCAAAAATCTTTTGAAAAGGAGCCAGGTCCTATTTCTGGTTGGCCCTTAAAAGTGCATTAGGTCGCATTATAACTAACGAGAGGATGAGTCCACCAATTTTGCAGAAATACCCCCTCCCACTAAAACACGCTTAATCTTCTCTCCAGGACAGAGGGCTTGATTGTAAGATCGAAGTCTTACAAGTCTCAGAATCCAATTACAGAATGAACAAAATTTTAGTTTTCTTTGTTTCTTTGTTTCTTATTTTGAAAAAAGGGTAAAGATTATGGGGAAAGGGATGACTGATCCGGAATAAAATTTTAAAAAAGTGAAGGTTGAAACAAAGGTATCAATCCTGTTCAGGGTTAGATGCTTCTTGTTAAAACAATCATTCTCTCTTGGTCAAAAACATTACCATTGCTGCTTAGATTTATCATGTGCACGTACACTGGTCGCAGTTCCGTTACATCAATCAAAAGAAGAAAAATGTAAATTATGATACTCCATAGGTGTTTTACACAATAAAATTTCATTGATTTTTGTTTTAAAAGGAATAGTTAGTTTACTTTATTCACACATGCGCAAATAAGTTCCAAATGATTTTTGAATTGAATAAGTTATTAACGGCTTCGAAGTCAGTGCTGGGCTTTTAATGATGGCTGGATTACTTGCTTTTAAAGCCTAAAGAAAGGCAAATGTTCAACTGATGAGTTCGTTCTATTGCAAAGCATATCAGATCCATAGTTATACCAGAAACACTGGAGATTCGAAAATGTAAATGCCAGCTTTTGCTATATTAACGCCATCATCTCTTGACTTTCTAGTGTCTACACGTAAACGAGGTGCCTAAGATCTTGAAGAACTAGTCAAACTGTGAACTTCTTGAGACACTTTTGACTTTTGTTCCAGTATTGTAACATATTTTTCCATTTTTCTTCAGGTTTGACTTGAAATCGCCTGGCATCTGACCGCAGAAATCAGGCGGCAATGATAAGGAAAAGTAACGAAAAGATGTCAGCTCTATGGCAGAAAAGCAAAGCACGAGGTTTAAAAAGGTAAGTGTCTAAATAAAAAGTTATTTTTATGCGATAGATAGATGAAAAATAAAAATAAAAAAGAAAGAAGGAAAGACGGCGTTTACGTTAATAGAAAATTGCGGGTTTTCATAATTTATTGAATTCATGAAAATAGGAGGTATGTGGCTATAAGTTATAGCATATAAGTAATCACCAGCATGTTATGTTACCTTATTTTACAGCTTGAATGGAGTAAGGGAAAGTGCTGCAATAAAAAGATGGGTTTACCGTGCTTGTTTTCGCCCCGAGTGCCCGTAATTCTAAGTGTTTTTACCTAGTTACCCGCAAAGTGTTCCAAACTTGAACAACTAACCGTATTCTGCAAAAAAAAAAAGAACACTTTTTTTTTGGTGTTGAAGTGGAGCAAGAGACGAGTGCACCCCCTCCTAAAAAAAATCCTGGATCCGCCCCTGAAATCTAAAGCCTTTTTGTTCAGGGCTATAATTGTCAGCAAAGTGATTTCAAAATCCCTGAAAGTCTTGCAAAATATTTTAAAACAGGTACAGTTTTTAATTGACCATTATCTCATGCTTCACTGTGGTTTCGAATGCGGAGATTCACGTTATTCGTATGTGAATAAATCAAACTTCCTCTATCCATAATTTATTTTCTTGTAGCCATAACAAGTAAAAAGTACTACTAAAAAGGGGGGAGGGTAGACTTCGAGCAGTCCTCCTTATAAATTCCTCATGAATACCTTATTATAGGAAATTAACGCTCCATGAAATTAACACGAATCGTTAAAATTCGCGTTAATTTAAGTCGCGTTAATTTCGTTGAGTGTTAATTTCCGCGACGTTAATTAAGTGCAGCGTTAATTTCCGCGCTCTTAATTTCCAGTATTTTAACCCCAATTTTGGGACCTGTCCAGACATTCTTGACACCTAAAAAACATTAACTACAAGCTTTCTTTCTTTCCATTTACCCTTTATTTTTCATCTTTCACAAAAGCTAAGGAGAAGGCTTACAATATTTCGAGTTCATGTTCATCGTTGTCGCTGTCAGAAGTGAGGTCAATATCTTCTCCTTTGATTTCGGCCAAGATAGATTTCGAATCGTCAACATAGTCTTTCTCGATAGAATATGAGAATCGCGTTAATTTCCTTTGTTATGAAATTCTCCCTGCTCTTTCGCGTTAATTTTCTTTATTCGAAAGTCGTTTTCCATTGAATTCAGGTTAATTTAAGTCGCGTTAATTTCCAATACCTTAATTTCATGGAGCGTTAATTTCCTATAATAAGGTAGTAGCGAAACGAGAGCTCGCGTGCACGCCTACATGTATACTCGTCCCCAGGGTCTTCTCTTATTTTAATATGGCGGCGCGCTCGCGCGGTTTGCTAGCAAATGAGCTGAAAACGCATTTGGGCAAGTCACAATCGGCGTGGATTCTCCAGCTAGTCAAAGAGTTCAGCAATGCGAAAGTGGGTAAGATTTCTTCTCAGCCTCACACATTTATTGTGCATGCAGCAACTTACAGCTTTTATTATTAAAAAGTAACAAGCATTAACGAGCGCCCCGCCATAAGCTCAAGCTAAAGCTTATATATTTCTCGACCATGAAAAATGATAGAAACATTAGGGAATTTATCTGTAAACGGAATTCGTTTGGCTTATTGTTTACACTAGAGAGTGAGAAAGCGTTTTGACCCTTGCGAATGATCATTGGGTGATCTAGCTATAAGACTGTCAGGGGCACCCAACGGCAACTTTCGGGAAAATATCTGTTCGGAAGACGATTTGAGAACTAGAAGTTTCGGAACATTTGTTGTAAAATTTCTTGCTTGCCTGCCTCTCCTAGGATTTTCGAACATCTACAAAATGGTATAATTACCCATTTTAAACGGATATTCACCCTAAAAAAGGCCACCTAGAATATTCGGGAGCCTTTTCCTGACTGAAATTTTCGAAAAGGTAAGTTTTGAGCCCTATAATTTTCGACTCACTAGACTTTCAGCTAGGAAATCCGAACAGATGAAAAGTTTTTAGGGGATAAAAATATGCCTATATCTACCGTTTAAATACTAAAATACGTTCAACAATGCTATGTTAATTGGTTTTGAACTATATCCTCGTTGGGTGCCCCTGAACATAGAGGATCTGAGAATAGATGCCCAGATACCACCTTCTTCGAATAAGCGTCCACATCTTCCAGGTAAGCCTAATAGGTACGGTAATTTTCAAGTTAGCCCGCTTCTTCAAAGAAGCCCAACCCTTTGAATTAGGGCTCACTTTATGGCTAGAAATGTCAAACAAGCACCCGGGAACTAACACCACGTCCAGTATCCTCCTTTCCGAATATACGGTATACAGTACGTGTATCGCAATGAGCATACTTTAATATGTAGATTAAGCGCGGCCTAAGAGCGAAGCTTGCAAAAAATAGAATCATGTAATGCTGAACGGCCTCCGAAACGAGAACGACAAAAACAGTCATTAGGGTTAATTAGCAAAAGAAACGACTTTGCCCGTGCAGCACACAGTTTCTGTACATTTCTTTGCTGTTGATTTGAACTATTATAACTTGACACGTAATAGTTACATGTTTTATGGAGGAAATTTAGTATATGCGCACGACAAATGTTGTTGCTTGTGTTCATGTTCACCACTGCTCATTTTCACCTTGCTGTCCGCTACCATTATCGTTTTCTCAGCGGCGCTATAAAATTTTCTTGTTGTTCTTCCAACGAACTTCCGCTTCTTT